CATCTTCTCATGTGCTTATTGGCCATTTGTATATCTTCTTTGAAGAAATATCTATTCAGACCCTTTGCCCATTTTTAAATTGGGCGATTTTATCCTTTATATTGTTGAGTTGTAAGAGCTTTTCATATATTGTGGGTACAAGTCCTTTATTACCTACCTATATGATTTGCCAGATTTTCTCTCATTCTGTGGATTATCTTTTCACTTTCTAGATAGTGTCCTTCAAAGGACAAAAGTTTAATTTTTTGTATATGGTGTGAGGAAGGAGCCCAACTTCCTTCTTTTGCTTGTGGTTATCCATTTGTCTAAGCACCATTTGTTGAAAAGATGCTTAAAAAAACCACTTAACTGTGGTAAAATATACTTAACAAAATTTACCATCTTAACCATTTTTAAAATGTACATTTCAGTAGTGTTATAATTACATTGTGCAGCCAATCTCCAGAACATTTTTCATCTTGTAAAACTGAAGCTCTGTACCCATTAAACAAAAACTCTTCATTCTCCCTCCTCCCTAGACACTGGCAATCACTATTCTACTTTCTGTCTCTATGAAGAAAGACTTACCTGATGTAAGTGGAGTCATGTAGTATTTGTCTTTTGAGACTATTAGCAAAAACATCTTCTGTATTCCTTCAGATTGTAGCATGTGTTAGAATTTCCCTCTTGCTGGGCGCGGTGGCTCATGCCTGTAATCCTAGCATCCTGGGAGGCCGAGGTGGGCAGATCGCTCAAGGTCAGGAGTTCCAAACCAGCCTGAGCAAGAGCAAGACCCCGTCTCTATCATAAATAGAAAGAAATTAATTGGCCAACTAAAAATATATAGAAAAAATTAGCCAGGCATGGTGGTGCATGCCTGTATTCCCAGCTACTTGGGAGGCTGAGGCAGGAGGATTGCTTGAGTCCAGGAGTTGGAGATTGCTGTGAGCTAGGCTGACGCCATAACACTCTACCCAGGGCAGAGAGTGAGACTCTGTCTCAAAAAAAAAAAAAATAAAAAAGAATTTCCCTCTTTTTAAGGCTGAATAATACTTCATTGTATGTATATGTACCACATTTAGTTTATCTATTTGTCTGTTAATGGACACTTGAATCACTTCCACTCTTTGGCCGTTGTGACTCATGCCGCTGTGAAGAGGGGTGTACAGATAACTCTTTGAGGACCTGCTTTAGTTATTTTAGGATATATACTCAGAAGTGGAATTGCTTGATCATATGGTAATTCTGTTTTTAACTTTTTGAGGAATCACCATGCTATTTTCCACAGTGGCTGCACCATTTTACATTCCTACCAACACTGCCAAGGGCTTCCAGTTTTTCCGCATCCTCACCCACACTTGTTTATCTTTTGTTTTGATAGTAGCTGTCCTAATGGGTGATGCAATGAGAGACGTGATGAAATGACTTTTTGCCCTATTGAATTGTTTTGGCACCTTTGTCAAAAATCATTTGATCATAAATACGAAGGTTTATTTATGGACTCTGAATTCTATTCCATTGATCTGTATGTCAGTACCACACTGTCTTCATACTGTGGCTTTGTAATAACTTTTGAAATTGAGAAGTGTGAATCCTTCTATTTTTTTTTGAGATTGCTCTGGCTATTTGGATCCCTTGCATTTGCATATAATTTTTAGGATTGGCGTGTCAATTTCTGCAGAGAACCCTGCTGAGATTTTGATAGGGATTGCATGGGGTCTGCAGATCAACTTGGATAGTATTGCTCTTTTAATGGTATTAAGTCTTTTCATCCACAAACTTAAGATGTCTTCCTATTTATTTAGGCCTTCTTTAATTTCTTTTAGCAGTGTTGTAGAGTCTTCAGTGTGTAGGTCTTACACTTCTTTTGTTAAGTTTATTCATAAGTATTTTGTTCTTTTTGATGCTAGTGTAAATGAATTTTTTAAATTTCATTTTTGAGTTCACTACCATCGCACAGAAATGTGATTGGTTTTTGTGCATTTATCTTTTGTCTTACAGCCTTGCTGAAGCTGTTTATTAGTTCTCATAGTAGTTTTATGGATTCATTAGAATTTTCTATATGCAAGATCATGTCATCTATGGATAGAGATAGTTTTATTCTCTCTTTCTAATCTAGATGTATTTTATCTCTTTTTCTTGTCTAATTGCCCTGGCTAGAGCCTTCAGTACAGCCTCCAGTACAATGAGTTGGCAAGAGTGGATATCCTTGAATCAGATTTTTAATGTTTACTGGTTTGGAAATATTTATTACTAACAATGCTCCTTTGAGAACTTGAAAACCCAGCTTCTTATCCTCCTATAGTAACAAAAGTAATAAAATTTCTTCTATAGAAATTAAGCATGTTATTGATTTTTTGAACACCAAGGCACAATAGATTCCAGCTTGGTGTTTTTTAAGACTTTGAGGTCTATGCTCTATTAACTTTATGAATTTTTTTCCTAAAAGTAACTAAAGTAAGCCAACTATAGGACTTTTAAAAACACATTTCTAAAGTATATGCCCTTCTAAAGAATCATGCTTGCTGGGTATATATGAAGGGAATGAATAATCAGGACATTTACATTGTCTCTATTATTGCTTCTTAGCCATGTAATGGATATAGTTGATAATCTGAGATGACGATGATGGGTAAGGTAAAGGAGAGGTGGTGATTGTGCTACTTTTGATAATTTAATTCTATACCCAACTTCTGAAGGGTCCATTTTCTTGCTTAAACTTACTCCCTACAGAAAGCTCTAGGAGTAACTTTGCTATGCTTTTATTCTTTACTGAAGATTTTCTGAGTACTTAGATATTTAATTCAGAGAATAGTATTTCTTTCATTTATTATTTCTTGAGTATTTTCTATTTGTGCTGCACTTTGCCCTGTTAGAAACATGAAAAACGTATAAGAACATGTCTATTCTGTGGATGCTTATAATGTATTTAGGAAGATCAAATATATGTGCTTACCTTGTACTGCTGTATATTTGTGGTTGTATGTTGTATATGTTTTGTCTTTGTCACTAAGCATAAACTCTTTGAAGATAAATATCTTTGTATTGACACAGTGTGTATCACAGTGCCTCACATGTAGATTGTGTTTATTGTGATTTTTAAAAGTGAATAGAGCAGTCAAACAGCATAAAACCATTTATAATCAAATACTCAAGTGAATGGTGTAACCAGTCATTATTGTTGAATTTTAGAAGTAACAGCAATCAGTGTGTACCAGACTTGTTAGGCTTCATTCAGGAGAAAGTAATTTAGGCTCATAAAGGATGGTAAAAACTGAGCAGGGAGAGAGAACATTTTACCTGCGTATAATAGTATCTGGAGGGCATTGAGCAGGTGACATTGGCTGGAGTAAAAGATAGATATTGGCTTATAGATAAAAAGAAGGGTGGAAAAATAGGTGGGAGCATCATATTTTGGAGACCTTAAGTACCAGTTTGGAAAGTTTGCCATTACTCCATTTGATATTAGAGAATTATTGAAGGTTCTTGAATTAGGAAATTTTGGGGCAAAACATTAAGAAGATTTATGTGGTGATAATATATGTTATGGCTAGGGGGCAACTAGTGTTAGGAGACCATTTAAGAGAGTATGATAATGGTTGAGTTCCTGTAGTCTGTCAGCTCTTAAATAGAAGGCGTTTTTGTTTGATCTTTAGTACCTAGCATAGAGCTCTAAGCAGAATTCAAGTGTTTATTCAGTGAATGCATGAATGTATGGACTAGGTGATCTGGGCCTGGATAGGGCTGTTAGCAGTAGGAAAAATCCATATGAGTGACATTTTGGAGGAAAAGTTGAAATGACTTGTTTTCTAAAAGTAGAAAGAGTATATAGAAGGTCAAAGATGACAGTAAAGTTTCAGCATGGGTTATTAAGGAATAACAGTGCTATCCTAGACATAGAGGGAAGTCAGCTAGGGAATGAGGGCAGTAAGAGAAGGGATAGTTATGATCACATTTTTTAGACTTGCTGAGTTTGACGTTGAAATGCCTCATACTTAGAGATTTAAAGGGCTCAAATGAGAACTGAAATCTGAATGTTTGAATTTGGATATCATTATATAGATATTATTATTTGAGCAGTAAAAATGATTGGACTGATAAAACCGTATTGTATGCATGTGTGCAGAGGTTGTGTGCATGTACACAAGTATACACACTTATACACTATAACCCAGTATGTGTATCAGATAGTCAATAAAAGAATCTGCTTTTTAATATAAACAAATGATGAGATCTGATTCCTAGAGTGACCAGAGGAAAAAAGAGAGCTACAGAAGGAGTCAGAAAAGAAATGAAGAGGTAGAATTTACAAGACAAATTTGCTCACCAGACTTTGTGATTTGTCTTATGTTTTAAAATGCTACTACTAATACCAACAGTAGTACTCCTGTATTGCTTGTTGAGTACTTACCATATGTCAGACACTGTGCTAGGCACGATGTCTCTTTTATCCTCACAACAAATCTGTGATGTCAGTATTAGTGTATCTCCATTTTACTAATAAAGAAACTAAAGGCTGAAGAAGTTAAAACTTGCCCAACTTTACTTGAGCTAATAAATAATTTAGAGACATTGTGAATATAAATCTAACTTTTTTGACTCCAAGCCAAATGTTCTTTCCATTATACCAAACTTACATATGTTTAATTTCTGCAAGGCAAGGACTATGTCTGTATAGAATCAATCCTCAGAAAAAGCTTATTAATTAGCAGGCAGTGACTAAACAATAATAATTCCTATACAAATAATCAGCATGTACTTTGGATGTGGCTGCTTCTACTTGGATATTTACATTCATAGTATATTAAGAGGTAAAACTTTTTTGATTGCTTGTTGTGGATGTTAATTTAAAAGAGGATATCAGTTCTTGTATTTGAAGAATTAATCATTTAGAAAGTACTTTTTAATATTTTTTCTTAAACTAATACAAATTTCTTTTAGAAGTTTTTCTGATACATTCTTCAGAGCACCTATATATTAGCAAGGAAATAAGAAGAGCCTACCATTTTCTATTTTCCCAGGGGATATTATTTTCAATGCCCAGTACCCAGAGCTGCCCCCCGATTTTATCTTTGGAGAGGATGCTGAATTCCTACCAGACCCTGCCGCTCTGCAGGTGAGTACTACAGGCTAACATTGATATTTATCTGTTGTAAGGAAAACAAAATTGGCTTTTGACAGTTGCTAAACAGATTTGTCAAACATGGGTTTTTTTTCCCTCCCCTTCTTTTCTCTGCCCTGCAAAATAAGTACAACTGTTTATGTGCCAAAATAGTTAAATAAGAGATTTTCTTCATAGCAGTTTTACTTTCATGCTACTTTGAATTAATGAAAGTCTCCAGCATATTGGTTGAAATATTTTTACTTTACTTTAAAGAGGCATGTTGAAAGTGTTTTCTTTTTTTTTTTTATTTCAGCATATTATGGGGGTACAAATGTTAAGGTTATGTATATTGCCCATGCTCCCTCCCCCCTTGAGTCAGAGCTTCAAGCGTGACCATCCCCCAAACGTTGCACATCTCACTCATTGTGTTTGTACATACCCAACCCCTCCTCTCCCCTCCTACCCGCCCGACACCTGATAAATGTTTTTCCTATATGTCCACTTAGGTGTTGATCCATTAATACCAATTTGCTGGAGAGTACATGTGGTGCTTGCTTTTCCATTCTTGAGATACTTCATTTAGTAGAATGGGTTCCAGCTCTATCCAGGATAATACAAGAGGTGCTATATGACCATTGTTTCTTAAAGCTGAGTAGTACTCCATGGTATACATATACCACGTTTTATTAATCCACTCATGTATTGATGGGCACTTGGGTTGTTTCCACAACTTTGCAATTGTGAATTGTGCTGCGATAAGCATTCGAGTGCAGGTGTCTTTTTCATAAAGTGACTTTTGATCTTTTGGGTAGATGCCCAGTAGTGGAATTGCTGGATCAAATGGCAGATCCACTTGTACCTCTTTAAGGTATCTCCATATTGCTTTCCACAGAAGTTGAACTAGTTTGCAGTCCCACCAGCAATGTAGGAGTGTTCCTATCTCACTGGATCCATGCCAACATTTATTGTTTGGGAACTTTTTGATAAAGGCCATTCTCACTGGAGTTAAGTGATATCTCATTGTGGTTTTGATTTGTATTTCCCTGATGATTAGAGATGTTGAGCATTTTTTCATATATTTATTGGCCATTATTCTGTCTTTTTTTGAGAAGCTTCTGTTCATGTCCTTTGCCCATTTTTTGATAGGGTATTTGAGTTTTTTCTTGCTGATTTCTGAGTTCTAAATAGATTCTAGTTATCAGCCCTTTATCGGATATGTAGCTTGCGAAAATTTTCTCCCATTCTGTGGGTTGTCTGTTTGCTCTCTTGACAGTTTCTTTGGCTGTGCAGAAGCTTTTTAATTTGATCAGGTCCCATTTATTTATTTTTATTGCTACTGTGATTCCCTTTGGGGTCTTCATAAATTCTTTGCCTAGGCCAATGTCTAGAAGAGTATTATCAATGTTTTCCTCTAGAATTCTAATAGTTTCACACCTAATGTTCAAGTCTGTTACTCAGCATGAGTTGATTGTTGTGAGAGGTGAAAGGTGTGCGTCCTGTTTCAGTCTTCTACATGTGGCTATCCAGTTTTCCCAGCACCATTTATTGAGTAAGGATTCTTTTCCCCAGTATATGTTTTCGTCTGCTTTGTCAAAGATTAGTTGGCTATATGAGGATGGTTTTATATCTGGGTTCTCTGTTCTGTTCCACTGGTCAATGTCCCTGTTCTTGTGCCAGAACAAAGCTGTTTTAATTACTATAACCTTGTAGTATAGTTTTAAATCTGGTAAATTGATCCCTCCTATTTTGTTTTTATTGCCTAGGATTGATTTTGCTATACGGGGTCTTCTCTGGTTCCATACGAAGCATAAAACTATTTTTTCTATATCTGTGAAAAATGATGATAATATTCTAATAGAGATTGCATTGACTCTGTAGGTCACTTTGGGTAGTATAGACATTTTAGCAATGTTGATTCTGCCAACCCATGGGCATGGTATATTCTTCCACCTGTTTACATCCTCTGCTATTTCTTTCTTCAGTGTTTCATAGTTCTCCCTTTAGAGGTCTTTGACCTCCTTAGTTAAATATATTCCTAGGTACTTTATTTTCTTTGTTGCTATTTTGAAGGGACTTGAGTCTCACTTGATTTGGTTCTCACTTGTACTGTTGTTGGCGTATATGAATGCCTCTGGTTTCTGTGTATTGATTTTGTATCCTGAGACTTTACCAAATTCATTTTATCAGTTCAAGGAGTCTCTTGGTGGAATCCTTGGGGTTTTCTAGGTATAATATCATGTCATCAGCAAAGAGTGAGAGTTTGATTTCTTCTGCTCCCATTTGGATGCCCTTAATTCCGCTCTCTTGTCTGATTGCTGTAGCGAGGACTTCCAGCACTTTGTTGAATAGAAGTGGAGTTAGTGGGCAACCTTGTCTTGTTCCAGTTCTAAGTGGGAATGCTTTCAGTTTTCCCCCATTCAGTATGATATTGGCTGTGGGTTTGTCATATACGGCTTGTATCCTTTTTAGGTAAGCCCCGTCTCTGCCTATTTTGTTGAGCGTTTTTATCATAGAAGGGTGTTGAATTTTGTCAAATGCTGTCTCTGCGTCTATTGAGAGGATCATATGGTCTTTGTTTTTCTTCTGTTTATATGGTGAATTACATTTATAGATTTGCATATGTTGAACCATCCCTGCATCCCTGGGATGAAGCCCACTTGGTTGTGATAGATTATTTTCTTGACAAGCACCTGGATTCTATTGGCTAGGATTTTGTTGAGAATTTTTGCATCTATATTCATAAGGGATATTGGTCTGTAATTTTCTTTTTTTGTTGCATCCTTTCCTGGTTTTGGTATCAGGGTTATGTTCGCTTCATAAAATGTATTGGGGAGGATTCCATCCTTCTGGATGTTGTGGAATAATTTCTGCACGATAGGCACCAGTTCTTCCTTGTAGATGTGGTAAAATTCAGATATGAAACCATCTGGTCTAGGACTTTTCTTTTTAGGAAGGTTTTTTTATTACTATTTCAATTTTAGTACTTGATATTGGTCTGTTCAGGAATTCTGTTTCTTACTGGTTGAGCCTAGGGAGGCTGTGTGTTTCTAAGAAATTGTCCATTTCCTCCACATTTTCCAGTTTGTGTGCATAGAGGTTTTTGTAGTATTCATAAATTATATCTTGTGTCTCCAGGGCATCAGTCGTAATTTCTCCTTTATTGCTTCTGATGGAGCTTATTAGAGATTTTTCTTTTCTGCTTTTCATTAGTCTAGCCAATGGTGTGTCAATTTTGTTTATTTTTTCAAAGAACCAACTTTTTGTTTTATTAATCTTCCATATGGTTTCCCTGTTGTCAATTTCGTTTAGTTCTGATTTGAACTCATTTTCTCTGTTTCAACTTAATATTTCATGCCTGTAATCAGTTTTCTAATGTTTACTAACACTTCATCACAGGACTTGTTAAGAGAGTGTTTCTTGGCTCTTCAAGAGGCCTTTTTTTGCATAGAAGTGAAAGTGGCAAATTTGGACTTGAATCCACATAATCTCAGTAGTATTATCCGAAGGGTAATAGCAGATTAAGTGTTTTCTATTAAGCAAGACCAAAAACTTTGTAGTTGAAATAAATGTTTCTGGAATTAAAGCAAGAATTTTCACCATTGGGGAAAAGGGTGATGGTTCTTGTCAGAGCACATGTGGGTTAATAAAAGTTGTGCGTTATGCATGGCTGATGGAGAAAAACATGTGCCGTTTTGTTTAAATGGTTCTGACAAGACAAAATGTCTCTTTCTTTTCCTTCTCAACTTTGAGTTTGGTATGATACCTAAGTATAAGAGGTTTATTTTTGTTCAAAACTATATTCTTAGTTTTGTTTTCTAGAAATCTTTTGTCTTATTAAAGTTTTGTAATGAAAAATTTTCATGATTTATTTTGAAATCTTGCCCTTACTTTTAAAGGGGAAGTATTAAATAGGAAGTATTAATCAAAACCTAAAGAATTATTTTAAACTTTAGAATACTGCTAAAAAAATACTGGTGGCAAGAGTAGGATAGATTTGTTATAAAATTTTTAATAATTGCAATATGCTTTTATTTTATTTGATTAAAAAATTTTTAAGTTAAATATGACCCCTTTAGATGCTTTTTATTACATATTCACTCCATATTAAAGCTCAGGGGCTTACCTAGTAAAAGTAAGGAAGAGATTTCACTACAGATTTCTACTGTATCAAATCTGCCCAGTGTAGGGTAGCATTGTCAGATGCCAAAGGTGTTTACAGAAGGAGGTCAGAAAATGCTTTGTAGTAGACTTGTACTCATTCTTGAAGAATGGAACAAAAGTGGGAAGTATGGCAGAGAATATTTTGGGTGGGGGAATGACATAAACAAATTAGAAGAAGCTATGGTTTATATAATATATTGCTGAAGAAAATGCTGATAGGTTAACTGAAATATGAGTTACTATAAGGAAGGGCTAGAAAAGATTAGTAAGATAACTTGGGGGAAAGATTGTAAAATGCATTGAATGCTGGGCTAAGAGCCATTGAAGGAGAAATGATGAAGGAAGAATTATCTGACAGCAGTGTGGTCAATATAATGGATTAAGGAGAAATTGAAGACCAGAATTGAGGATGGTTGTAAACATTTAGTGGGAAGAAAAGGGGCTTTGAGCTAGGATGATGCAAGTGGGCATAGTATGATGGAAAGAATAAGAAAGATGTGTTTACAGCTTCTTTTTTTGAAATTGCATTTAAAATTTGTAGGGTATATCTGCAATATTGGCAAGAATTATGAGAGTATAGATTTTAAAAGCTAAAAAAGACCTTAAGATCTGTCTTATTGTACTCTTCTATTTTATTGCTGAGGAAATTGATCTAGATTTATATAAGTCTGTGTCAGAGCTGATATTATAATGCCACTGTTTTGATGTTTAGTCTAAGTAAAGTTATTACAAATGTTTTTGAGAAATTAGCTGAAAAAGAGCAACCAAAAAATCAAAGTATTAGATCTAAGAGAAAGATTACAAATCTAGGGACATACCTTCTTTTTAATGATAGTTAATCTAAGGCCTCA